ATACATGTTGTTATTCTTTTTCTTATTCTAGCTAAAATATCGAGCAGAATGAAATTTGAACAATTACCAAATGAAATAGTCGTTGAATGCTTTCAATATCTCAATGCACCCGATATCTTTTATTCATTTGATCGATTAAATTATCGATTTTATATACTTATTCGAAACATTCATTTACATCTCAATTTTGAACAAGTTAAAAAGTCTTCGTTTAATGAGTTTTGTGAAACAATACGAATAAATCCGAAAATAAAACGGGGCGGGTGTGTGAGAGTGGTGTGGGTGTAGATGTGAATATGTTACTCATCTGACGCCCATATGCACACCTACCCCTAATGCTTCAGAGTTATTCTGATTGATTGCAAATTTGTTCATATTGTTCAAGCACTAATTTAGCTAATTTTCGATATCGGTGATCAGGTGGAAGGCCAAACTTGTCGAAACAGCTCATACCCTCAAAGCAATAACGATATCCGATCATCATTGCCTCCGTGAGTGGACTACGTGTATCTGTCACAGGCTGTGCATTATTCCAAAGTAAAGCACCAAGACAGCATTGAGTTGCCGCCGTTTCGACGTGATGCCTTCCCAGCACTTTCTTCTGAATTGCGAATGCCTTTTCATATGCCACTTTGGCTTTGCTGTATTCTTTCTCGGACTGACGCAACAGCCCAATCAGTCGGTAATCAATAGCAATTTTAGGGTCATCAGACGTCAGGTATAGCTTATTTATACTAAGAGACTCTCTCACATGTTCCCACGCCAGTTGAATTTGGCCTTGTTCGAAATAAACAGTAGCGAGATTGCCATGGCTATCTGCGACATTACCGTAAATGCGACGATATTCTGCTGTATCACCACTCTGTTGATTATCTTCGATCACTTTTTTTCGAATTGCGAGAGCATGCTTGTGATAACCAACAGCTTCCCTAAGCTGACCCAAGTGACGGCACACAAGCCCCATGTTGTTAAAATTCACTGCCAAATCTGAATGAAGATCATCCCGATACCAGGATCTCTTAAGTTCCAATGCTTGTTCGTAGTACAATTTTGCATTTGAATAGTCGCCTTGAGCTTTTGCAACGTTACCAAGACCAGTGAGACCGGCGGCCTTTTGAATGGAATTAATACCAGTTGTTTCATTTACCAACCGTTGGTAAAATTCACCAGCTTTTGAATAATTCCCTAAATCTTTAAGAATGTGTCCTAAAGTCAACAGATCTCCTAAAATATCAATAAATAGCTATTGCAATTGATCTTCTGTCTACTGGGCTTACCTCCCTTTTCTAACCGCATCGCTTTTCGAGACTGCATCAATCGATGAAGGCTGTGAACATCAGCATTACAAAGAACAAGCGGAATGTGCGTAACCTCGATGTCACCATACTTTTCTGCCGTCACGCTTCCGATCTGAAATATAGTTCCCGCCATGAACAACACTTCTTTTTCGTTCTTGTATTTACTTAGATGAACAATGTCGGCGAACACTGTGGTTGTCTCGTTACTGAGATCCAACTCTATTTCGAAGAGACAGTACTCAAAACCTTTTCGAGGCTGTCCAGTAAACTCGTCGAGCGCGAAGTCACGATCTCTTGTAGTCGAGAGCATGATATTAGTTGAAATGTATTTGGGTGACGCCTGATTCCTCAGTCTTTCCATTTCACTATTTGAAAGAGTCTGGTATCGATACACGCGTAAAATCAATTGTGATCCATCCTCATCCTTTTTCTTTATCTCATCAAGAATAAAACTCTGATGCAATTGTTTGAGTTGATTGTATAAATCAGTCAAATAAAAGTGGAAGAGAAACAACATTTCGATATTTTGATGGCGAAGAGCTGCATTGAGTTGAAGATGAATAAACGTATCTCGCGTGTACCACCAGATAGCATTGTCCGGTTTGTAGCTCGTTCGGAACTCCTCGACAAACTTTTGTTCGGCTGGATCATCCTTGTAGAATTTTTGCCAGTATGATATAAATTCGTCTTTGTGCTTTTCGCTAGCTTGCATTTGGATTAGGTTTTCGAGTAACAGTTGAAACCACATATGTAAATGACTTTCTGAGTTCAAATCAAAACACGTCAAAGTGCCATTTCCACCACTAAATACATCACATTCAAATTGCTCCATGTCAGTATCTTTTTTCATTCGTTTGCTTATAATTTCAACTAGATCTTCCTTGTTTTTAATTCTGCGACACTATAAGACATGAAAATCATAAGTTGTTGTATAGAATGAAAAACAACAGAGCTATCAGAGGTATCAGGAAAACATTGACATAGAAAATAGACAAGACTAATACGTCATCCTTTCTTTCCTGTTCAACGTTCTACAACATGTTTTAGTAATGGCATCATTCAGCATTCTCTCTTGGGCCTTACTTAATTGATCAATTTTGTAAATCGGGAGCACAGTGTGGGTACCGGATGAGTATTTACACGTGTACTCACATCCGTTCCCTGACCAACATCCTTATTCACTGTTGATTGAAAAGGTAATGAATATGTACCATGTAAATTTGCTCGCACCTATGACTCTAATAACTCTAGCTCTGCTTCTCATAGAAATATTGTGAGCCTAAACGCACTTATATCTTTTCGTTCTTTGTAAAAGCATGTTAAGCAACGTACTTTAGGTAATGCATCATTGATGGACTGGGTATGGGCACCATACAAGTAAATGACGATTATCTGAGCTAATGCTCCCATGTTCGTTATAAATTCATCTTCAACTATTTTGGACACAAGCAAATATAGCTTTGCATCGGTATTTTCTTTGATAAAATTGCTGCATTCGGCTACGTCGATGTAAAAACATATTCTTGTGGTATCAACGGCATCAGGCTCCAGAAGTGGCAAATCATCACGATGGAGATGAACAATATTTCGTTTGATGGTGTTTGGTTTGTATCCTTGACAAAGATATGCTTCGCTCGCGACACCGGCACCTGAAAAAACAAAAGAACAGTAACGGTAGGTGTAGTAAATGCAACAAGGCTCCTTACAGCTCATTGTGTCACGTATATTGAACGAATGTCTGTTGCAAGTGACCCTCTATGTATTGAATAGGAAGTAAGTGCAGAAAAAATTTCTTTATATGTCTGACGAAAGTCCATGACTCATTCTCTTTTTGCTATTGCCTCCATTATTTCGATAAATTTCACCATCATGCGTTGTGCAACTACAGCAACGACTGGTGGTAGCTTATAAAATGAATTTCTCCCGTCGTCACCGGCCTCTACTTTTATTCTTTCTTTCAAACAACAAACTGCTTTCCTTTCCTTTCATTTTCACTTTCTTTATTTGAGAGAAAAGAAAAAAGGACACTTACACTATCAGTTACTTACTTTATTCGACAGACATGGTGTTTTATCTATTGATAGGCACATATCAGGCCTTCTGAAACGGGGGTGCTCACAAACACTCTAGATGAATAGCAAGGCACACAGCTTCATAAGTTTACGCCAGTAAACTGCTGAATGAACATGACAGAATGATCACCATGTATTGGCATTGAAACAATGACTAATAACATATACGACTACGCGCGATAATCAGTCCTACGGAGTGGGTGTAAGTGTGAGTGTCTTTTCTATATCTCATATGTGCCTCATACGCACACCTGCAAAACTTCGAATAGTATAATTGGCTAAATCTAACCAATATTTGCATATCTCGAAAGAAACCCATGTAATTCATCCATTGACATGATGCATATATTCTTGAGAAATAATATTGCCAGTCATAAAGAAAATGAATAAAAGAAACAGCGATCTTGTTTCTTCGGTTCTTTTCCTAATTCTCAACAGGCATTTATAATATTTGAGGGTGGATATTGGTGTGGGCATTGGTATGAGATTTAGTAAAGACACTTATATTCATACTCATACTGATACTCACACCCTCAAGACATTATGAAAAACAAGGCAATAACAGATCGCATTTTTTGTATGCTCGATGAAACAAAAAAAATATGCACAACAATGAATGATTTTTTCACTATTTTTTTATATTACTTCCTAAATTTCTCTTTCAATTCAAAGAGCATAAAATTGTTTCTCTTAGTACTTATTCATGCCCTCGAAATCAAAAATACATTTCTTTTATTTTCATTAGTTTGTGTGTCTACATGTTTTGAAAAGTTGGTTTTGTAAACGTTTGTCATAGAAAGGCTCTTGAAAGCATTTATGATTTTCTTTTCATCAATATTTCATTTTATGATTTATTTTTATTTTTATTAAAGACTGTAATTCTCTTTTATTATTTCATCATAACTAAAACCATGACATTTCTTCAATCGAAGTTTAAAACATCATCATTTATATGAAGTTGTTTGATTGATGAAGGTAAAAGAAAACATTACTTGAACAGAGGCATATTTAATAAATTGCCTATAAAAATTTTTTATTACATAGAACTCTTCTAAAGCAAATAAACAAGTCAGCTGTTATTTTAACGTTTTTTTCAGTATTTCTCTAACCTTACTTTTCAGATGGCTGTTATTTTAAAAAAAAAATATTCTTGCATAGAGTAAAAAATATTTTAGATAAAATCATCACATATGAAATTAATTTAGTTATTATTAGTTTCTAGAAAAAGAGTTTTTTTTGTTGATTTTTCAGATTTATTATTATGAAAAAATACAGCATAGTTCTTTATCTTTATATTTAGAGAGAGCAAAATTCTTGTCTAAAAGAAATAAGAGTCTGTTTTACGAAAAAAATGAAGTATGATCTTGTGATGATTAGTATTTATTTATTATGATTTTGTTTTCATAATTCTATAAAGTATTATAAGAATCTTAAATATTGAAAAATGAATTTGATGATAATATCAAATCTATACAAAATAGAATATTTGTTAAATTGACGTATTACCAACAGAGAGTATGCATGAGGAATTAGAAATATAGATGAAAATGACAACTATCAATCGAATAAAAGCTATTCATGATTTTAGTAACTTGTAGAAAGGATCTTTTGATACTTGTTCAGTTGATTGACGAAATATTTGTCCTATTGTACCAAGCATTATTATCATTTAAACAATTTAAAATAACTTTGAAAGTTATTCGAATATTTGTTAACGAATCTAATTTATTATCTAAACTATATTCAAATAATGAGTTTGAAAATAAATTTTGTGATATATTAATAATTTGAGTTTATGGATCAAAAGCTTTTGTTGGACATTGAATAGTTATATGATGAAACTGGTAAAATTTTTCTTCTTCAGGTTTTAATTGTATAGTCCATGAAAGAATTCCATTTGTATGTAAGTGTTCTCTACATAAATAAACCATTTTCCAATCTTTTTCAATTTTTCTTTGAATATTTGAACATACATAAAGTCGATCAATCCATTCATCTTTTTTTTGTTTCTTCAATTTCATTACATAGATATTTATCAACTCCAGAATTATATTCAATTTGAATTAAACCATTCCTAAGTTCTAAGGACGTAAAACAAGACAAACTTGTTGATCTCTTTCTCCACGTGACAATTTCCAAGCAGGTGAACCACTTTGTTTACCATGTAATTCACTTTCTTTTGTCGATTTTTCTTTATTTAACATACTGACTATATCTCATATTTTAGAAATAAAAATCTCTTAATTCTTTTAGAACGGAATTATTTCTAGAACCAATTCGCTATATTTTATTTTATTAAAATTCATTAAGATTCGAAATTCATATGAATTCGATTCACTCTTGCGCTTCGGGTGAGCGTGGGTGTTGATAAAACATAGATTCACCCTCACCTACACTTGAACAACTCTAGGGTCTATACTGTGTACTATCTGTCCCGGAAGATTAAAATCTATTGATAAATTTATTTTGAAATAGTTTTCATTTTTTCTTGTTGATTAATTTAATGAATTGTTCGTGCAAAGTTTTTTTCTTTAATATGTTGTCTCTGCATAATTTGTAACTTATCAAGTTATTGCAAATAAACCATTAAATATTATATCATCGGATGAAGATGCTCAACATGAACGTAAACTTCATGGTCTTGCTGATTGTGTTAAAAATCCTAATCGATTAATTGTTTTTCATCGAACATTAAGAGAATGAAATCAAGAGTAAGTTATTTTATTTTAATTAAAAGAAAAAAAAGTTGATACAAAAAAAAATGAATTATTGACGTTCTCTTGTACGTTTATTATTAAACCAAACACGAATTTGAGCTGGCGTTAATTGAGTTCGAGTTGAAAGATCATCGATTGTTGTTTTTGATACATATTTATCTACTTTATAAAAATGTTCTTCAAGAATTTGAATTTGTTCCGGAGAAAAACGACGAGTTTTTTCTGGACGAACCTGAAATACAGAAGAAGAAGAATATATTGGACTACTTACTTGCTGTTGAGGTATCGTAATTGGATAATAATATGGATATGGTTGTTGAAAAGTACAATAGCCAATAGGAGGCGGTTGAGGAACAGGATTGTGAACAGGACAATAATATGGATCTGAAATATAAGAAAAAGAATCATCACCTGAAGAATAACCATATGATGAATCAAGAGGATATGACATGATTTGTAATATTGAATAATGTTTGAGTATAACAAGTATCTATATATATAGATAGATAGAGAGTTGAAAGCAATTAGGGATAACGGTTTGTTTCAATTATTGATACATGCATAATTAAACAACAAACGCTGAGTTTGTTTCTTTTCTGTTCTGTTATATAAATTTCTTATTTGAACGTCTTCAAAAATCAAACGATCAAAGTGATGTCGCGTTGTATCAATTAGCATCAAAGAGAAGAGAAAAATTTTTATGTAAGAAGTAAAGATATTCGATATATTTTGTTCTACTAGTTAGCGATAATGATAACCTTTAAAAATAGATAAATGTTTTTGAATTGGATTTATCATTCGTTGAGTCTCACAATCGAGTCATTTTTGAATAGTTTTTTAAAGATCATTTCCTGATGGTGGCATTTTCGATACAAAGAAATTTGGTGCCATTCCGGAAAATACGATTCTTACTATCAATACTCGTACTGGTCAAATCGTTAATCAATGGAGAATGAATACAATAATCTATATTTCAGATTCTACATGCCTCATGGTCTTTCGAATGATACAGTAGGAAATCTTTGGTTAACCGATGTTGCAATGCATTAAATAAAATTATTCCTATGTTTTTCTCAAACTTTTATTAGTATTAGATGAAGTATTTGTACCTGGCAGTGATCCAACACATTTTGTAAACCAACTGATGTTGCTGATGGATATTGTAATTCTCGCATTATTAAACTTTATTCAAAAGAAAAATTTTTTAAAAAAATATACAATGCCTGATGAAGAAAAACACCTTTCAATTCCGCATAGTATTATTCTTATTGAATATCAAAAAAATAATTTTTTATTTTCTATAATAGAGTTGTTTGTTTTGATGATGGAGAAACAAATGAGAACAGTTTATGCTTTTACTTATTATGCAACTAAACGTAGGATTTTATTTCAAAAAACATTTTATATTAATAAATGACTTTTTTCAATAGATCGTCTTTATGCAGTTAGTGGTAGAAATTAAAAAAATCGAGCAGTTGGTTTTACATTTGATGCTCATCCAGAATCATTTGGTGATTTGATTGCTACTTCGAAATCAAATGAAGTTCGTATATGTTTAGAAATTTGGTGAACCACATGGTATAGCTTTAAGTATAAATGGTCATGCATTATTCGTTGGTGAAATTCGTCCGAATCGTATTGATGTATTTGATGTTCTCAATTAATTTTCAAGAATGATCCCTTTTTTTTCTTCTTTTTTGAGCAATAATCAACAGTCATTCTTTGTTCTCAAATACTTTATCGAATGATTTCGATACATAATCAATGATATATACGTATCTTTTATTATCAGATATATGAATTGAAGAGAAATATATATCGAAAAATAATCATATACTTAATAGAGTAGACTATTATTGCTTAATCTGTGACGCAAGCTTTGGATAATCTCACTATGATAGTTGATAAGAGATATTGAAAAATATTTCATAACTCTGACTAGTTTTTCTTTAGAAATCAGCAAATTCTAGTATTTTATGTATGACGCAAAGAAGACGTATGGAGTTTTATTTATTAATAAAAGAGCAAATGTTAATGTAACGAATAAATAGAGAAGTAAAAAAGTATCCAGAAGATTTTATTTGGTTCACAGAGAGAAAAAGAAATATTTTTGTCAAGTTAAAATCTGTCTAATGAAATTTTTATTTTTAAAGCAAAACTAAATATCGTTTTTAAGTAATATTGATATTCATGACATAGAGAAAAGTTCATTCGATAGTAGATCTAGTTTAGGATTTATTTATAAGTTGTATAACGACATGTGATAGATATGACAATAAATGTTGTAATTTATATCAAATCAATGATCTGCAGATTAAGATGATTCCATAGACAGTGGATATGGATGTGAATGAAAGAGAGACGCCCACACCCACACTCTTAAGATCTTATTTTACAATTTTTTGATCAAAAAAATTTATCATCAACTGATAAAGAAAATCAATTCATTAAAACATGTGAATCAATAATAACAAAGAAAAAATAAATGAACTAATTTTCTTTTCGTGATATGGAAAAATCCTGAAATTGGTTTGTTGATATTTATATATCATTATAAATATAGTTTAATGAAAAAATCTTATAGTCGTGTTTGGAATTACTTTTCAAACAAATTGAAGAAAATTTTCCATCACAACAACAGCAATATGATAATAATATACTTCAAGTAAAATAGTCTGTTCATTACACTATATTTACAGTACTATTCAAAAAAACTTGCACATCTTGTTATGTAAATATGTTCCCATATATAAGTCACTCTCAAGTAGTTTCCATAACTGGCTGATCGCCTATGCCGAGTACTATTTAGCACTATACTTCAATATTTTATTCGTTCACCTTTAAATTCAATAAGAGACAAACATCATTTTTTCATCGACATCACACAATTTTTTTACAACATGAATTTTAGTATTATTGAATTCTTCAGTTAAAGAAAGTTCCAGTTCATTAATGTTTTACGATCGACCATAAGTTCTCGATAGCATTAGCATTTCGAGTATCAGATGGGTACTCGAATAATTCTAATATTTTGTTCCTGACCAGTTGTTTGGAAATATTGTAAGTATGATTACGATCATTATCTTGTTGTAAACATCAATTTTGACGAAATTCTTGACTAGCAGCAGAAAGAAGATAATTTTTTAGTATATGAGCATAATATGAACCATTATTTGTCGATAATTTATCTTTAATTTCACTGAGGGGTATTTAATTGTTAAATCGAATATATTGAGTAATATAGATTTTTTCTGTTTCCGTGAGGCACATAGTCGACCATTTCATCTTCACTGTTTAAGTGAATTTGTTTGTTTCAATTTATTTATATTGAAATAGATAGTCCTTGATGATATCTTTATTTCATGATGAATAGCACGAGTGCATCCCATACCTATGCTACAATAATGTAATGTCTATATATACGATAGTTTTTTAAATCAGTAGATTGTATTATAATTAAATGTTTTTGTATTAAAAAGAAAAAAAATCACATTTTTATATAGCTAACGTGTAGTAAATCTAACGAATATATATCTCTGGAAAATTCAAATTTGTAACGATTTTCAAACGGTAAGAAAATCGTTATACAAAAAATAAAAAATTTTGTGCAAGTTTTTTTGAACACTAGTTTATATCGTTCATAAACGACCGAGGTTATCTCAACAATAAATATTTCTAAAAAAGTTAGACGATTAATAATATTTTTTTGTCAAAAATTGATCATTAAAACAAATCATATAGAAGTTCTTCAGTCACAAATTATTTTTTTTCTCTTTTATATACAAAATATATGTCATTTTTAATCTCTATTCGTAGAATTTTGATTGCTGCAAGTACCTCTCTTATGTAAAAACGTGCCCGGTCAATGCATGGCAGTTTGGTTATAACATATTATTAACTAGTTTCATGTTACGTTTTTTTAAAATATTAACTCATCAATAATTTGAAATAAAAGAGATGGGACATGCAGTTCCAAGAGCAGAAACTGATCCATCAGTTCCAGTTCATCTGAAAAGATTTAATGACGAGCTTTAACAGTCACATTTCTAGTCTAAAATGACATGATAAATGACTCTTCCATATAAATACTTCTGTAAAATAAATCTTCCATCATACATCATTTACATGTTGTTTTACTAGAAGCAGAGTGTACATTAGCTATGATGCATGTTTATTAATACATGATCAATAATATTTGCTTTTTTTATTGCATCTAAAAACTTATTTTCAAATGTTGTATATAATATTCTGTCTCATCTTTTTTTGTAACTATAAATAATATCGAAATAATCATATGAACAATACAACTGATTAACGTTCTGTATTTTCATATAAATGGTACAAATAACTCTACTACTTTTTTTTCAGGAAATTTGATAACTACAAATACAAAATTGTTAATGAAAAAGTATTTGACAAACATTTATATATATGTATTTAAAAAAATATCTCAGATCTCCAAAACAAAAATGATCGATTCCTTTTTCAAATGTCTTTTACCTTTATTCTGGAAAACATGATTTTTAGCACGTAGTTTTCAAGTTCAATACTGTCAATTTCAAGATCTCCTGTTTATTAAGTAAATTTATATTTGATGGATAGGCAACATGCATAGATTTCTTAGCTCTAATATTTCTTTCGCCTATTCAGTATTAAAAATAGGGTAAATAATTTGTTCTCATATGTCACCTGCATTCTCTTTCAAAGATTCATATTTGTAAGTATGTCCTTTTTAAAAATAGGACAACGTCTAGAGTCATTTTCATGATTTACTGAATAGTTGGTATCTATTCAATAAGTCAAGGAAAATATTTCTCATTCAAAGTTATAGAAGTATTATCGTTTTCTCTCATTTTCTATTGAGAGTATATCGTTAAATTCTTACTAGTTAAGTATTTTTTCTTTTTAATGGAGAGTCTCATATTGTCAAGATATTAGTAGTTCGTCATGGTTTCAGATATTTTTTTATATAAAACCATGATAAACTTTTACTTTAGATTAGTGAAAATCTTAGGAATAAAAACATTTTTTCAAGTATATATTTTCAAAATGGTGAAGTTGAACGAAGTATCACCTATTGATGACAACAATACAAGTGTTCGTGATGTAGCTATTAAAGATATAACCTGAGTTTATTTTTATTTTGTTTTTATTATTTTAGCCTCAATCAAGTAGTATCAATATAGATCAAACTGCAACAACTCAATCACGAACATTGTATGTATATTTTGAAATTTACATGTAGTAAGGTCAAATAATTCGATTAAAAGTTGATTTGCCTTCGCTTCTTCTATTGACGATTTTAGAAATATTTTTTTCTTATGAGTATTTTATCATTTTCATTATTATACATTGATAGTACCGTGTTTTTCCATTGAAATTCGCTCTTACTAACGAATATATATGTATCCTAAAAATACAAGTATATAATTATTTGTTTCTGTAAGAATGTATTCAGAGTACAACACATAAGACCATTGATGTATAATGATAAGAATAGTAAAATACTTATAAGAATATAGCATGATAAAATATTGATATTAAGATCAAACACAAATTAGATAGAATGGGAGCATGACTAAGTTTCATGATTAAAAGTATTTATTATTTTTAGTTGGGAACAGATTCGAACAAAAAAATGGATACGAATTGTATTGCCTATTCTGGTTATTAGTTTGATTATACTAATTATTATTATTCCCATAATTATTATGAAAAAGAGAAGTGGAGATACAGAAAAAACATTATCAACAGAAACAACAACTACAATGATAACAGCAACAACAGAAACAACGACAACAACAATAACAACAACAATAATAACAACAACAACAGCAGTGATGAATGCGGCAACAGAAACAACGACAACGAGCGGTATAACTCTCTTAGAAAGAAAATAGAAAAAAGTCGATCGTTCACTCACGATAACTCATAGTATAAAAGCTTTTGAAATCTTGTATATCATAAATTAAGGACACTTGAGGATGGATAGGTAGTTGATTGAGACCGTCAATATTATTTTTGTTTGTCACATCTTCATAATCACTGCATCTTCTAATAATATTTTTTATTTTGTATTAGGTTCATGTTTGACATATACTGTGCTAGCACGTTTCGACCGTTCAATTATTTCGGACAAGTCGATATTATTAGTCAATATCAATGAAGATACCAAATTAGATATTATTGTAGGATACGATGGGGAGGAAACTATTATGATATTCTTAAATCTTGACGATGGAACATTTACTCAATCGAAAATAAACTCACATGAAATTAGACTGTCACGTATAACTACAGGCGATATTAATAATGATGGCAAGCTCGATATTATTGCTCCCAGTTCGATATCAATGGAGATCATTGTTTTTTATAATGCTGGCAATGGCAACTTTAACAATTCGATGATCATTCCAACAGAAGATATGATATTTGATGTGAAAGCAGTAGATATCAATAAAGACAATAAACTTGATTTTATTGCCGTAGATTCGTCCACGGGTCATATTATCATTATTTTGAATGATGGTAATGGTGTATTTAGTAAACAAATCAGGTATGAAAATATTTCTTTTCTACACAAGTTGGAAGTAATCGATATGAATAATGATGCTCTACCTGATATCGTTGCAATATATAATGGATTAGGATCATCAATGCTTGTATTGTTAAATATCAATAATGGTAATTTTATCGAGCAAGAGCGTCCTTCGTTTTCCCTGACGCCCAAATTCATTAGAGCTATTGATATAAATGGTGACAATGAAGTAGACCTAATTATGGGATATTATTATGATTTTCACATACATTTCGGTTTTCGCAATGGTACATTTGCTGATCGAATTGACTATCACAGTGATTATCAATTGACATCTTTAGAAACAGCCAATTTCGACAATGACAATAAAATGTATATTATTCTCTCACATTTTAACAACAATAAAATTAGTATTTTTTCCAATACAGGTAATGGAACATTTGGAGAACCAAAAATTATTGACAACATTGACCAACCAACGTATGCAACAATGATTGATATTAAAAGTGATGATAAAGCAGAACTTGTTGTCGCAAGCGATCAAACTATTACAATTCTTTACCTTCGCTGTTAAATATAATTTCAATGACTATAAATTTTATTCTTCATTTATAAAAACAAATATTTTTATGTCAATAAGCTTCTTGTAATTTTTCTTTTTCATCTTAATTCTTCTCTATATTTATTCTTTTTCTTTTAATTTCTTTTCAATATCTCTTTTCTCTTATATATCATATTAAATCAATAAATTTGTTTACAATAAATAATCTTTTATTTTTTCTTTGAAAAATATTTAAATAAATCGAAAGAATTATGAAAATGGATTCTATATTAAAACTAAAGTTTCAATATATCATACTCGACTGTTTTAAACATTTTGATCGAAAAATAGTTGTCATTGATATTTTCATTATCAATTAGAAACTACAAAATATATAATCATACCTTTGATCTTTTCTAATCACGAACCAAAAATCTAAGTAAGTTTTGTTTTATATCTTTTGGATCATTAGAGAAATAATTCATATGTGAATTTCTTTACAATAAATACAGTATCATCTTTATTTTCACTTCACAGGAAAATAAAATAAAACTCACAATAACAATCGTATTCAATTTTGAATAAATTATGTCATTCATAATGTATCATGTGCTGTTATTTTAGTAGAAGTACAGTTTTCTAACTTATTCATTTGATAGAAATATTCTTCATGGATAATTTTTCTTACAATCAATGAGTATGGAACTGTATGTATTACATCATCATTCTAAGTTCGTCTATAAATGAAAACAATGGTAGTTCAATAAAAAGAACTACTACTTCTTTCAATGTCTTACATATTTTGTTTGAGTTTTATCTGTTTGAAATATTTAAAAATATTGATAGTCCAGTGTATCAGTCATATGCAAATGCTTGTACAGTATTAACTACTAAGATATATGCATCAGACAAATGACTTGTAGTATTTTTGTATTCATCTTGACGTTTTTGTCTTCAAAATTTAAATTAAACTAACATATTATTCTAACAGTATTGAAGATTAATAATAACTGAATGAGATAGTTTTAATTAATTGAACTCATATTGGCTGTTTATAATCGACATATAAATCATAAAAACATGATAGTCTACTAGAAGTGTTCAGTATAAAAAAGTATGTTGATTCATCTTGATTGTTTTTTAAAAGTCCAATAGATTAATTTATCAAATAGTTACGATTCATGATACGTTCTGTAATTATAACTACTCACAATATAGATTCTAGAGTTACAGAAGGATAAGATTTCACAAGTATACCTGGTTTATCAAAATAACAAATCTCTATGATTGTTTGTAATAAACAATTTATTATCTACTATATGATAGGTGTAGATCATATCGATTAAAGTGGGAAAATTTGATTAATATTTCGAATAGGAATGTAATAGTTTCATATCAGTTCTGAGAGGGAAAAGTGATGCATCAGTTCAAGTGAGTTCGAGCTTGAGATATCACACCGATAATGATGAGCAGATAGTTTTTACTTCTTTTTCGTAATCAATCAAATATTTAGAAAAATAAAAAATAGTGTTATATAACTGAATGTCAACTAAAAACACCACTAAAGATTATAGCAACATTATCGTATGCCTGATTAATTTGCGAAATGTTTTAGATAGTTTATCATGAGAAAAAAAATACCATACACGTTAAATATGATAATTACAGTGAGCGCATCTTATCTTTGCATCAAATTTACCTTGAGCTTATGCTTCTTACTACCATAAATATGTAATGATTTTATTCATTCGTATTCTAAAAACGTAGTACGACTAAACTATTTTCATTAAGTTCCACGTGGTTATTTTTACAGTTTAATTTTTAATATCTATATTGGTTAAGCATCGATATCAACTCTTAAGTTCAAATATCTAGCATTTGATTACATTCAAATAGTTAAATTTTTAGTAATTAAAAGTAAATTTTCATAGAAAAAGAATAGAATTATATAGCTAAATTTTGTATTGTAGACGCATATCTTTTATTCTTTATATACGCTATTTTCTACTTAGATTATCATATCTGTAATGTATTTCTTTGTTTTTCATTTGAAAAACTCGACATGTATGAGTACTGTGTTTAATAGTAAATATAATATAGTGATGAGCGCTCCTCTACTACTGACAATTTAACACTTGTTTTCATTGTGCGAAAGCATGTTGTTCTTATGCATTTGAGTAGCACTGTAGAGACATTATTTTATTTTTTATTGGTCTTTAAAATGATAAGCAAAAACAAGTATATATTAATAATATTATAAAAAAATAAAAATAAGAGAACATTATTTTATTAGTATGAGTGAGATAAGAATCTTGAGGGTATGGGTGTGGGTATGTGTATCTCCTTTAATCATATCCACCCCTACACCCACACCCACCTTAAATTTTAATTCATGATATTATCGTGATAAAAAGTGAACACTTAACTTTTGGGACGTGATGTAAGAGGACGAAATGTAATGGGGCAACAGATAATTAGGACGAATTGTAAAAAGACAAAATAAAATCGAACAAAAAGCATTTAGGACGAATAGTAAGGGATAAGAAAAGAATGAAATGTATGGGCATCAAAGAAATTTCGTCCTCAGTGGATGAAGACGCGAGAGATTAGTGCTACTTTTATTCTACAACTTCCTACATTATTTTTTAATTAAATTCAATCTGACAATGAGAATCGTATCTTTATTTCATTTCCAGTTTATCAATAATATCTTTACTAAGAAAGACAAATTATGTCACTGGACTGAAGTTGACATTTTCATTTTATTAACAATATAAAGACACACTACAAGATGGTGGGAATCATTGAAGAAATGTTGTGAGTATCATTATAGGGGTGGTTGTGGGCATGAGTTTGAATTAAATAGAATACCCACAACCATACCCTGACTTGGGTTTAAAAATAGAACTATATAAGTGACACGCCTTCTCGTTATCTAATTGTTTCTTTATAATTTTAATAGTATGTAATAAGTTAAATATAAGTTAAAAGAAAATTAAGAAAAGCTTTGGGCACAGTATTTTATAATAGTTAAAAAAACCCATTTTATGATGCAGTGCTTTTGATCTGGCAAAATGAGGATTTATGAAAAAGAGATTTTCATAAAAATCGTTGGTGAATAAAAGTACTTCTCTAGAGATTTTTACGTTTGCAACATTCACATCTGTTTAAAAGAATCTTTATGATACTAGATTCATAAAGGGTAACGATTATATCTTGATAAGAATCATTGTCAAAATCACCGACAGCGATATTTATTATACGTTCATAACCAATAGGCGAAAGTATTGTTTGTCGTTCAAAATTGCTATTTCCATGGCCAAGCAAGCCAAATATAACGCTATAACGATCATAACTAATAATGTCTGCATGATCATCACAATTATAATCACTAACAAGATTTACAGTTTCGTCCTTATAATAATTTGCCTTAAATATTTTTTTCCAAATATTGTTGAGAGTGACCTCATATAGAGTGTTAACGTAAAAGTTATTGTCTGAAATATTACTCGAAGCAGAAATATTGTTAATAGTAGACCATTTTGGTAGTTCGAAAGTTCCGTTACCATATCCAGCCATTAGACCAATAAGATTCTTTCGCGAGTTGTAGCATAGAAGATCTGATCGAGTATCACCATTGAAATCATCGGTTAAGATACGGCATTCGGAGAAAAGAGGTCCCATATAAAACCACTTATATACTTCAAAAGTTCCATCACCACGTCCAAAATATATACTAATAGTCATAGAGTTCTCATTTTTGATAGCGATGTCTAATTGACCATCATTGTTAAAGTCAACAATAGCAAAGCACTCTGGTGCACTACTAGGCACTACTGATAACGTTGTACGCATTAAGAAACTTCCATCACCATACCCAACAAAAATAAGAATACTAGCCGGTCTGTAACTAACGATAGCGATATCTAAGTATTTGTCACCATTAAAATCAGCTACAAAAATATCTGTTACAGTATCGTCTCCTTCTATTGAGATTATTGTTTTTACTTTAAACATCTCATTATCATTTGCAAGCAAAATATACACTTTGTTTTCTGTAGAATAGATAATGGCGAGATCAGATCGATTGTCATTGTTAAAATCACCAACAGCAATATGCGCTGGTTGTCTATATATTTCTGTCGAAAATGTTTTTTCTGTTTTAAAAGATCCATTGCCATTTCCAAGAAGTACAATCGTGTATCCAAATGCTGGACAAACAAATGCAAGATCCAAGTGATTGTCGCCGTTAAAATCAGCGACAAGGGGTCTAACTGACAAATAACACTCATGAGATATATTGATTAATATTGGTGGAAATGTTAACTGACAAATTGATTCTAATGAAAAGAAAATAATAAGTTAGTTTCAGAATTTAAATTACATATATTTGAGAAGGAACTTACGTGAACTAAATTTACATTGAGTATTAGTATCGTATGCTTATGAATTACTATTAATAACTATAGATCTACCTCTATAATCACTCTCCGAACATTGCAGATATAGTATGCACGATTACTTGATTCTTTTCGACTGACTCAATTGTGAATATGAATGAAAATATCACAGATACATATATTAAAAATAGAATAGTCAAAAAGGTAAAGTAAGTTAAATTCTATCACATCAAGCAAAGGTCAGTTTCATATTGCTATTCTTAGCAGTAGCTCCATTATATATAAATCTATGAAATATACTTACTCTCTTTCTTTCTCTTCCTCTTACACTTTCAAACAGTCAAATCCTACGAAAACACATCAAATTTTGCAATGTTCTCAAGAAAAATGATGTCATAGCTGTAGTATTTCGATGAAAATCTGTATTGCATGATATATATATTTGATCTTGTTTCTTGTTTACCTTTAGTTATAGTATAGAAAATAATGGTATGATAAAGAAACAATTTAATCTTGATCAATTCATTGATCGAGATATTTCTATTGTCTTTATTGAGAAAAGAAAGATCTAGGTTTGCTCTCATTGGATCATCTTCATCTACTCAACAAGAACACTTAAAACAATCTCTTTTAATAATCATATTATTCTCTCGTTTGTTCTTTACAGGTATTAATATACTCTTTATTAATCATTTACACTGTTCGGCCTGAATATAATTTGAGAAGATTGATACACTTATTTAATCAATGTAAAAATTTTTCATGAATGGCAGTCAACAAAATGATTGAAAACTTTCCAAAGACTTCATATGTGTTTCATCACTTTGATAGAACTCCTAGATTTATTTGTTTATCCAAAACGATCATAGAAAAAAATAAAAATAATTTTGGTTTACTAACTTTTCATAGTTGAAGTTGTTGGCATTGTCGTAGTGTTTATACTGTCACTGATTGTCGTGCTTGCCAAGGGAGCTGAGAAAAAAAATATTTAATCCATGTTCAAGGGTGTAGGTGTGTTTGAGAAGATTTCTCTATAACTACCCACAACCATCTCACACCCACACTTTCAATTTTAATCTTACCTTGTCGATTGATATAGATAGAAAATATAACAAGACCAGTTACGATAAATATCAGTAGTATACACACTGATATGACTTTGTAAGAGCATTGAAATTTTGGGGTTAACGTTGTTCTAAGGAAAAAAAGGTATTGATTATAAATTAGTGATAGAATATTTACTTTGAATTATTTTTCTAGGCTTATTTTACTATTGAATAGTTTGACACACTTAATCAGATATTTTAGCTATAACTTTGCTTACGAGATCATTTTTTGATATTATTTATAAACTGAAGTATGACGCGTATACAAAGTAATCATTCTTTGAAAAGAAACTACTAAATACTTTATCTACATTCGCTATAACTCCGATTATGGATAACATCGAAAATGATCGACTTATAAACAAAACATTTGATTACATGTTTATAAAAGTAACTATCGTCATTTCTATTATAGATCAAATCAATATAAAACACACATACCGTAATGTTCTATTTGTTGCTATTGGCTTAGGATCCATATCGGCATTATAAACATTTGTAGTAGTTATGTTAATAGTCGATATTCCATAAGAACATGAAGGTTGAATAATATTTGTTTGTCTCTTTCGATAATTATATATTTTGGTTACACCATAAACTAGTTTAGGACATGTCCATTTAAGAACAATGGTCAGACCACCTTGAAAACCAAGGAGAAGAGTGATTATATAGAATAAATTGAATCGTTGAATATAAGTATAAGAACAAGATAGGGGTGAACATTTTTCAAAATAAGTTGTATAATTTATAGTTGTGTTCCATTCTTCGATAAATAGATGATCAATAAGTTCAGCAATCGTAGTATTAATAGAAAATTGACTCTTGTTAGATGAAATAGGATCGATACGGGATTTGTAATTTGTATATTTTTGAATGAGATCAAGACATGATTGATTATAAAAACATTCGAGTGTTGAAGCACGAAATGATTCACTTGGTGTACAACCCATTTTTAAACCTTGAATCGGAATTTTTTCAGACGAATTACTTTTAAAAAAACTTGCTTGAGTAGTACACAATGGAGACAATCCACAAGAACATTCATCATCATAGAATATAGCTTTAGTAAATAAATAAGTCCAACAAGGGTTTTCACAATCAAGAATATACTGGAAATTTGTTCCATACTTTGATATAATGGCATTTCCATGATTTATATTTCGAACTAAGAACAGAAAATGGCCGAGCGTTGTAGGAGCATTCGACTGACTGAGGTTCATCTGCGAGTTGACACGTGCATTAAAATCCTTCTTTGATAGAAGGTGAGTAGTAATTAATAATGAAGAAACAAATTGATCGATTGTATTAGATACTGACTCAATTGAAATATTACATAATCCTTGAAGAAATTGTAAATGAGCAGAAAAAAATCGACGATAGTCTCTTTCATCATAGATAGAGAGATTAGAAACAAGACCAGCTGTGAGATTAATGTACCATTGATTTGAGGCGAATGGACTAGAGCATATCTAAAATTGATGAAAAAGAAAAGACTCGATTTTTAGATATTAATAAAACAATATTACAATTACTACAAAACTATTGTGCCATTTTGATTTCCTCATTAGATAGGATCTATTTTTACTTACGTGATGAAATCGTGCATCAATTTTAACAAATTCATTGTATGTTGTTGCAATAGATGAACATGGACATTCTAGTGCATTTTCATGATCACGCTGGAGCTTCTCGTATAATTTAAAAGATGGTGCTACATATGTTTTTGTCAAAGTTTGAGATTGAATAATAGCATATAAACCAGGAATACTAAGACCAATAATGAGCAAAATAATATAAAGACGAGAGGTCCATTGACCAAGACGCTTAGCTGCCATTCGATCAATACTACTGCTAAAATCTCGCACAGTAAATAGATTTAAATTCGTTAAAGTTGTGTACAAAAACATAATCGTATTTCGTCGATTCATCTTCAATCTGCCCAACAATTTTGGACGAACTATGAAGAAGAAAACAAATATTTTTCATATTCTCGATTGCCATTAGGTAAATGAAATTTTAGTAACACTTAAATTAGAAAATGACAGTATCAATATGAGATTGTCTAATTCATCTAAGGGTGCAGATGTGGATGCAATGGTGTCAAGAATAGACAAACTCATTTTCATACATTTTTACCAGTATATCTGATAATCAATTGTAGATGTTATTTAAGATTGTAAAGAAGTCATTTTTATTCTTGTTCTCTTATATAAACTGCATTCAAAATAATTTTATGATGAATGAATTGTTTTTTAAATATATTTGATCTATAATCATTACCTTGTTGACGTTGTTTTTCTTTTTTTTTCTTTGTTACTGTCAATAGCCAATAGATAAATTTGATCAATTGAGGTGTAATTAGACGTAATAAGACTGTAAGGCCACTAATCGTAGATACCAGTGTTATTATCAACTCAACAGTGTTTTTTGTGCGAATGTTCTTTGAATAACTGCAATAACTTGGTGCACATGAATTATAAAATTGTACATATGTATATGACGGATTCCACTGTTCTATCATTAATTCCTCAATTATTTCTAAAACTAAAGTATTTGGAGGATATTTGCTCAATGTTGGATTATAAACCAAAGGATGAATATCAAACACGCGTTCGACAAACCTATCACCAGGTTCCCTACGAAGTAGAAAACCGAATAGAATTGGAAAACAATCTGAGTCCGAATATAAACATTGAAGCGTGGAGTAAAGAAGTGAATTAATAACAAAACAACCTTCAACTATGCCTGGTATTATAAAAACGTCATAGTCAGCAAACCGTTTATTATGGTAAATAAAAGCAGAACTTTGACAATGAACATTAGTAGCACAAACACAATTGATCAATGTCAAATTTATATTGTTAATTTCAGTGAAAAGAAATGATACCTAGAAACGAAAGAAAGAATTATTTTCTTATTAGTCAAATATGAAAACTTATATTTCATTTTTCACAGTCGAAAACCTTTCCAAAAGAAAACAACTGTCCGAAGATCTTTTTCTATCAAAAACAAAAGTTTATAAAAAGTGTCATAATAATTGAGGGTGTGGGTGTCAGAGTAAGGTTAATGTAATGTCTACACTCACACCCACACCCACGCCCACATGCTATCATGCGTCTTTCTCATTACAAAGAAGCCTTGTCTTAAGTATATTGATCTGACTATCGCTAGTACAGATATGTATTTGTTAGTTTTTCTTAAATAAAATAGATATGAGTTTTGAGGTTCATGAAATCGACTTTCGAAAATGAATGAACTTCATCGAAATTGATTTATACATTTATACACTGTTATAAAGAATCATAACAAGCAAAAGCTTCTCAAATTTTTTCTACGAGATAAAAAGTTGGAGTGTAGCCGTGAATACTTTGAAAATTTATTCCAACCTATTCTATCATCTACAAAAGTTACTAAAAATTTTAGCAAATATGCTGATCCTCGTTTAATTCAGTATTTTCTTGTTTTCATTTACTTCAAATCATTAGTGTTCATAAAACATTGTAACATTATTTGCACACTAACTTATTCTATGACTAGCAAAGAAACTCTCACAATTATATATTTTTTAATTTCTCATTTATTCACTTATATAATATAGTATTGCTAGTAGAATGTAAACGAGACGTTTTATTGGTTGAAAAAATAATATAACCTGTGATGGTTGTTGATTGTTTACTAAATATGTCATATTTCTTTTTATGATTAGATTTGTAGCATGGTTGTCGGTCATTGTTGGTGATTTTCCTGTATAAGGTTGATCAATTTGCACAAAAAGACGTTGTATGTTAACTGCAAAACGAAAATCGACAATTGTCGATCGATAAAATTGATCGAGAGTGACGTTTATTTGTGTATTAAAATCGTTTTCATTAAGTACGTTTAAAATAACGATGGACCGCATAATAAAACGATCAACGGCGGCCTTGATAGTCTCATTAGCTAGTCGGCAAAGGTCCATCAACAAGTCAAAGTGTGAGAATGCTCGATTTGTCCAATCATTCCTACTGTCCGAAGATCCTTTGCCGTTCAATACTGAAAGAAAATCGTCATGGACAAAATCACTTGAACATACTTGATGTAAAGTTGGAGACAATGACATAAACGTATCATAACTTATTACTGTATTAGAACAAGGACATTTGAGTGTACTCGAATACATAGCTTGTAATTTATCATAAGTCATTAAAGATGGGTTTGATTCAGTTATTGTAACTGTTTGAGTACTTAGAGATGTAAAGATAATAAGAATCAGAAGTGAGCCTATTGAAATAAAAATAAGAATATGATGTTTTCATACAAATATACTTTTAATAGTACGATTTTATCTAAGACTGACTAAACTTAGGCCAGTGAAAATAAATTCAGTTTTATGAAATTGGAAGTTATATGAACATAGTGAAAGAATTCATAATTCAATAAATATATATTTCAAATAAGATAAAGATGAATGTGAATGAGAATATTATATTCATCATTCGATAATATAGTAACTAGATATTTTTAACGAATAAACTTATTTTTATTTTATACAATGGTAAATATATGAAGAATGAAAATAACTGTACCTGTTAATAAAACCAGATAAACATATGTGGTAATCTTCTGTTGTTTAATGGTGTTTTCTGTTCGATCATCAGCCGTCTTAAACAAGTTTAACCGTTTCGCTGATCGACCTAATCGTTTTAAAGATATCTTGTAAGACACTACAAACGATAAATAAAAATTACATTATAGATAGGATTATTTTAATTCTATTGAAAACATACACAAATGAACACCTCTAGTTCTTAAACAACGATTGAGTTTCATTGACATATTGACTAAGAATGGTGTAATTAAACGAAGTATAATAATGAGACCACCATAGATACTGATAAGAAGAGTGAATGCATAAGAAAAATTAGTTTGATCAATTATGCTATATGTGCAAGACGTAGGAGCACATTCACTGTAGTATTTCGAATAATTTATATTTATTGACCATTCATCAATGAAAAGAGTAAGTAAATGATCATACACAGATTTATTTTGTTTTGGTGGAAGGAGAATAGAATCCGCCAAGGATATATTCAGCTAAGCAAAAGTATAATATGTAGTTGAAATAAAATAACATTATACATACTTGATTAAGAGTTGGAAAATAAACAATCAATAACCGAACGCATTCAGTATCATATAAACAGTCGAGAGTGCTCTCAAGAAGACCTTCAAGAGGAGTACATCCAGCAAAAAATCCTTCAGTATATGGAGGACCGATCCATTGTATAAGCTTTTTTCTCTGACTAATAGCGTATGATTCGCTTGGATATAAAGAGAAAGTAGTTATAACAGTTAGATTATCTTTTTCACAAGTCTTGGCCAAAGGTCCCTCAACGCCACTAAAGATATTTAAATAATATATTATATACATAGATAAAGTTAACAAATGATTTGAATATTCTTTGTTGATGTTTTATGTAAAACTGTAACATTATTTTTTTCGTTGATTTTTCTCAAAGATGAGATTTTTAAATGATTTCATTATATAGTTATGATTGATATTTAAATCAAATTGTAAATCACCTCACAAAATTCTTCATTACATCCTATGCAATTATTCACCATAAATCACTTGTTTCCAATGATTTTTGATTCTTCTCTCAAACATTGAAGTCTTAAAAATGAAAAATCTAAGAATTTTCAGTAGTTTCTGTGTAATCAAAACACTTAAATAGGGAGATTCATTCTAGTTTACCTTTCCAATTTGTTGATAGACAATAATGTGAACTTGGATGTATCCGAAATAATGAAGAAAATTATCGGCCCGCAGAGTGTAACATATATTATATGAAATGTGAATGACGAAGAAGAAAGCAAATATTATCTCAATAAAAATATCCTATACTAAAGAAGCAAGACGTATAGTGTATCGGAGATAGTTGCTCTCTAATCTTATTTACTATTAAGCTAAGAATAGGGTGAGTGTGAATCTGACTATGAAGATAAGAAATGTTAACACACCCACACCCATACCCTTAAAAAAAGGTCCAACGTATTCACCCTAATCCCTGTTCTCTTCACTATTCTGTTGAAAATGCCTTTCTCTCTCATCTCGTTAATATCACCATTAGATACAGAACTGAAGCTTGAGTCAAGTACAGTTTCTCCAATATACATTAACATGAAATATTCGAATCTGCCACTCACTCTGTTATTGGGTTGCGCAACAGTTGTGGATCGGGAGTATCCAAGATGGGCACAGTTGTGATTAATAAGTTTGTATTGAGAGCTGAAATATGGTAATCTGCTTGAGTATTCGTTCTAAAATAGTTCAAGAACGAAATAATTCGAAGAGATGCACTATTCTTTAAAGATTCAACGGTAGTATTGACTTGTATATGAACTTGTTCTTCAGAAAGAAGATTAATAGTAACAAATTCATTCTTGTCAATATCAATACGATTTTGCTGAACTATTTTTCCAGAGAGTAAACAAAATTTGGCCAGCAGTTCGAACTGAAAAAGAAAATCAATCAAAGTAATCAACTGTGGACATATTATTTGTAATAGATTAAGTGGATATCATTATCTTATCGTAAATGTAATACTCGAAAGTTGAATTCAAATATTCAGATACTCTAAAGGGTGGGTGTGGATGTGTGATGGATACAGAACCCACACTCACATTCTAGATTATTTGAATATTTGAATTCAAATTTCGTATTTGACACTATATACTGTCTAAAACATGTGTAGTGTTAGGTCTCATATTAGAGCCATGTAAGGGACATCAGCGAAAGAAAATGAAAGAAAGAGAAAATGGAGAAAAAGTGACCTTCGTGGGATTCGAACCCACACCTCCTGCTATCCGGGCAGTTATCCTAAGCCAGTTAGACTAGAAGGACCAACTTAATCTCTAGATTAGCGTCGAGTGAATCACTCAGACGCTAACA